CAGCAGATAAAGGATGTAAAAGGTTCAAAGTTTAGATTCTTGCTTGTAGTTATTGACATTCTTTGAAAAGTTTACTGCTTATATAGATGAGAGTACAGGTGCAGATTTGGTGTATCTATATTTCCAAAACATACATACCTTCTGTCATGCTACAATTATTACTCTACTGTTAGGGTTTCTTCCCTTGCCCATCTAAGCATTGGTCTGATTTTTACTTGCTTCCAGACTTTTATTCCCCACTTAATTGCTTTTGGCAATACCTGTCTCCACTTATGTCAGTGCTCCCTCTATCATGGTACTGTATATAAGCACCTTTTTACCATAATATTACCCCTTTTTCGTGACAAAGCATTCATTAACGGGTTTTCTGTGTACTATAACTGTTGGAGATCTTTGAGTGCTCTTTGTGTTATCTAGTTGATTTTCTGTTTAAAAGAAATTACTGAGGCAAATCAGGTATCTCCTATACCACATCTGGTATCTAGCATTGTTCAACAGTTGAGGGGGGGGGGTAACTCTCAGCTGATACTGTCCAAGACCTTCTTTGTGTGGAGGTGTAGAGGTATATTTGGTCTGGGAGGGAGGCTCTGATTCTTCATTTGAGGGCGATCTTGCACATTCTGGAGAGAATTTAGATTCACTTTTTCCTGCACCTTCCTTTATTCTGTCAGCTTCTCAGGAGGCCACATGGGGATCAACTGCCTCTGGCTCCTTTTCTTCAGTTGGTCCATCAAGTGTGTGATATTTGGGTCATTCCCCAGTTGCTTTAGAGCCTGCTCCTTCATTGATGGCTGAAAGGGCTGAGGGTGAATACTTTGTTCTCTCTCTGTCCACCGATATTGCGGTTCATGCCACATGATTTAGCCTACCACCACAAGGTGGACTCGTATTCTGATTCTGGGGTTCTAGAATGGAATCTGTTGTCAACCTGAATAGATCACAGTTTTCTAGGATTCTTCTCACCCTATATATGGTGCTGAGATATTTATTATCCCTCCAACTTTTGTCAAAAGACTCAGCAATCACTATGTCAATTTGATGATGAGTTGGGACCATAGTTAGTATCGAGATTTGTGAAGTAGAGATGCATTGTTGGATGGCATTCATGTACCAGCAACTGACCCTTCCCACTGACTCGTATGTTATCCAAGGTACAAGAATTATTCATTCCAATCTTTTGTTGGGTATTGTTGATAGCACCAGATTGTTGGCTAAACCCGGGTTTCTGCTCCTGCAGTATCTTCAAGAGTGCCCACCTCTTCCACTTCCTCTTTGGTCACCTCTGTTGAGGCAGCCAAGCTCTGACATCATACATCCACCTGTTTAACTTCTAAGGTTGCTAGGTATTCATCTCAGTCTTTGCATAGTTCCATGATGGATATTTATCAATGGAAATGGCACACATATCGACAATCGTGTATGGAGAGGAGGTCGAACCCAGTTTGTCCAGAAGTGCCAACCATACCTCGTTTTTTGACATGGCTCTTTAACAAGGGCTTTGCATCTTCCACACTCCTCATATAAGGTAGCTTTATTGACTACCTTTAGATGCTCAAGCTAAAAATTGAGACTCCAGTGCTCTCTGGCCCCCTCGTTGTTTAGGGTTCTTCGTCTGAAATAAATGTTTCAGTTACGTAACTGGTATGTTAAGGTGGGGTTTCATGCTCTTTGTCTACATCTGTTTGAGACCTTAGCCTCATGTACCATGTATCAATTTTCCCTTAAGGTTTAAATTTTGTTACTGATGGCCTGCAGACATCACCTGTCAGAGTTGTTTGCACATATTGTGCACAGGATGCTTTATCATTCTATCTAAATCCTCCTAGGCTCAGACAGGTTTTTCTTCACTAAGATACTGGCAACCAGGGAACGGGTTAACTCCTTTTCACCTATTCATCTGACCACTATTTCTCACTTCTATGATTGATCGGATTTCGATCATTTATTATGTCTAGTGAGGGTCTTGAAGTGTTATGTTGCCTGCACTAATGCCTTTAGAGGTGCTAGACAATGACTTTTTATTCATTGGGACCCTTCAGTTTTCCTGGACTTATCCCTGATTACTTTGTCAAGATGGGTACGGAATTGATCCAAATCACTTATTCTGTGCTCTCAACTCACGTCTCTTCAGATTTGTCACATTTCTATGTCCTTCATGGCCCAGTTGAATTGCTTGCTGGAGGACATTGTGCAGGCTGGTATGTGGACCAACTCTAAAACTTTTATCTCACATTATATGCATGATCGGCACCTCTGAGGGTTTTTGGCTATTCCCAGTAGCTCTCTTAACCACATCTGCTAGATTATAGGGAGGTGTATCTTCATTACTAATATTGTCTCTTCTTTATTTTCTGGGGTCCCTTATCTCTTTTTCACAACAGGTGTTGCCCAGGCAGGTGTACTTTTATCAAACCAATTCTGCACCAGCAACCACTAACACAATATACTTTATCTAGGTTGCAACAGGCGCTGTACGAATGGGGTGTTCCACAAGACCACCTAGAGGCAGGCTAGGTAGTATTACTGTACTAAGCTGGAGTATCATGGGTAAAGCATAAGGGGATCCTGCCCATCTCTGCCGATCATTGGATTGAATAAATTGGGGTCGGTTTGCTTTTAAAAATTTAGGGAATATGTTTCACCTTTTGCACTGTTTCCAGAATATTGTTCCCCAATTTGCAGTACCCTCCTCTTTTCCTACTAATGGAGCTAGGGAGTCCTTACCATGCCCAGTTTCCAGTCACTGGGGTGGTGGACAGAGGCTTTTCATCCAAAGTGTTCAAATGACTTTCCTCCACTCTTGGAGAAGAGGATGAAGTTGAGGACCCTCCTACCCAGATCCCTGGATGTTTTTTCCAGATGTTGGTAGGAGAGGCACCAACCTACAAGGGTGTCTACTTCTAATAATAGTTCATATTTGATGCCCAACTATCCGGTTGGGATGTGCGTGGCCCTTCTTTTTCATCGATATTGTGTCCTTGTAAATCCAAATTCAAAGTGGTCCCATTCTGTGTCCTTGATTGAGCACAGTTTGTTCCATGTCCTTCCCATAATTCCGTAGTGGATGAGTTCTGTTTTCTCAGGTTGAGTATGGTGTACAGCAGGGTTTATCAACCTGGGTTCCATCTGTAATGATAGTAATATAAAAAAAAAGGAAGCTTAGACTGTTCTATAACTGTCACAATTTTTCTGGCTCTCTAAGTGATTAAAAAAAATATTTCAATCGATTGGTTAAAGTCTAGGCTTTCTATTGGTTATAAATATAATGAGGTTGGACATTAGGGAAACCTATTAGCAAATTATAAAAGAGAGGATGTGACAGGATTATGCATTATTAAAAGTATACCAGTTAAATTACATTTAGGGCTGACTAAGATCTTTTTGTGGCCAATACATTACATCAAAACAAAGAGCACAAGAAACACTAAAGTATTCCAGATATTTCCTTAGTATGTGTCATGAAAAGATATTTTCTGTAGTATGTTAAGTATATACCTCCTCAAGTTTCTGTAATCTATTTATTTTTGTCATAACACTTTTCTGTGTTATCCTGTAAATTGAACTGTACATTTGGCTTGTAAATATCTATATATATCTATATGTATATATAAAGCACAAAAATCTGTGTGTATGGTTGTTTGTCTGTTATCTAACTATCCCTAGGTTGCTGGGCTAATCTCAACCAAACTTTGTGGGATGACAGTTTGGAAGAAGTGGTATATTAATGGGTGTTTCATACTCCACTGCCCCCGTTATTGCTGTTTTTGAGCATTTATTATCTTTGATTTAAGTTAACACTAACTATATTCATAGATGGTGCTACGTCCTTAAACAAAAACAACAACAACAGACACACAGTGTGGGGGGGACACAAAAACGTTTTATGTATGTCAGAGGAGTGCAGTGAAAGAAATGGCTGCCACTATTGCAGTAATACATTAACTCAGATGAGATTTCTACTCCAACAGCCACCATAAGGCTGATACGAAGAGTTGCTTTTTGAGTTATACCCACTTCCTACTTTGACCCATGACCTTACAACTTTGGCCTTTAAGACACTTCTGCGGCCAATGAGAATCAGTCAATTGATTAATAATGTGAAATACTGTGGAAGGACATTAAGGACTGGTTGTTAAAAGTAGGTAACAGAAAGCACCCTTACTGTTACTACTTTGGCTCCTACCTCTTCCTAAAAAGTCACACAATATATATACCATATTTTAAGTATATACTTAGTGAGTTCTTATAGCTTATACAAACCTTTTGGTGAGGTAATAATCAATACTGTAATAATATGTTATGTTATAAATAAATTATGTGAAAGTTACAATTTTTGTGTTATTTATCATAGCATCCATCCAGACAAAGGAAAGGTACCTCAACTTGTTAGCTGTAGCATAGTGGTTCATAGAATGGCTCTGTGTTTTTCAAGTACAAACTTTTGGCTCATAGCTCCATCATCTCTTGATCAATTTGAGATCTAATTACCTTTTCAATTGATGTATTTGACCATGCCCAAAAGTCTTGTAGCTTAATTTACTCTAATCCTGCCTAAAAGAATTTCAAGCACTATCGCTATTTAGGATTACCTCTTGTTTTTTATAATTCAACTTTGTATTTGACTGAAAGTGTTCCAGATATTTCAATTAGTATGACAGGAGAGAAACATCTTCTCTAAGGTGTGAAGATTAAATATCTTATTGATTCTCTATGATCTATTTATTTATGTCTAAACACTTCTTTAAGTTATAAACTGAACTATAGGTTAATCTTGCTAATATTTTTGATAATTCTGCTTTATTTTCCTAAGATTTGAAGTAAATTTTTTTAAACATATATATATATATATATATGCTTTATTCTGTGTAATTGAGCCAATCACCATAGCATGTTCTTTTCCACTGGATTGAGATACACCTTGTTTTTAATCCACCTCCCACCCCCTATAATTTTCCTATATTTTTACGAATATTTAAATAATACTTGTATGTGTCCATCAGGTTGAAGAAAGTATGAAGAATTTAGAAGAAGTGGTCAGAGAACGTAACCGTGCATATTATATGTTAGAGACAGGAGAAACTGGAGAAAGGCCATCAGAAATCCGTATTGATCCATTCGGAAATGAGTACAAGTAAGTTATATTTTTAACACACATGAATTCTTGATTGAGTAGTTCAGAAATGTCAAAGTACACAGACTTAATCCATTACTTGAATACATTGTATGCACTTATTTAGATATAGAAGTAGTTGTTCTTTGGATACTTTCATTATACTTAATGCAGTGTGATGATTAAAAAATCATATTTCATCATTTCATAACCAGTAAATAATACGTTTATTTGAGATTATTCCAGTAAATTTAGCTAATTTTTTTATGCAAAAGTTCTGTATGTAGTGATTACATTACTGTAAACCTTAGAAATATATTAAATACTATAATCACTGTACTATAGAGCTTATACATGTTTGTTCCTGTTTCTATGTCATACATTCCTGGAGTGAGGCCTTGCTCATTTCAAGGATTAGTTCAGAGACCTGTACAAATGAGTATGAATTAGGAATTTATCTTCCTTCAACATGTATGATAAGAAAGATTGTTGAAAAATAAATGTAATTATATATTGTTTGATCACTCAGAATGTTTTATCAAGGTAACATATCATAGTTACCAGTACATTTAATTCTTTCAGCATAAGCTCAGTCTCTGGGACCAACCTCGTAACCATTTTGTGCTTGTTGTAGTTTTCATGCTTTAACTTTTAAATCAGCAAGCGTATGTTCTTGAAATTTGGCATCTTACCAGTAAACGTTACAATACTTTCATATGCAAAATATCAGACATGTTTATTAAGTCTTAATGTTTGTTAAACAATATTTGTCTCATGGAGTTTTTTTCTTTTTGCATGTTGCCTAGCGAACATGTAATCTTCGTTTTGTAATTAAAAATATTTTTATGCTTGAGAAAATTTCCAAATTTCACATGCAAAATATTTATAATGCCGAGATAGTTATTAAACATTTCTTGAGAAAAAAACTTTTTATTTATCTTTCATTTTCAGTAATTAATCTCTGTACGGGTTCAGTAGATTTGACTGATCTCGCAACCATAAAAAAATTAAAAAATAAAGATAAATTATGCCTCTTTCATTCTAGAATGAACACAAATTATAACATGAAAACATAAATGTTTAGACTAAGTATCTTAAATCTCATAACATTATAAATTTTTTATATATTTATCATTTTGACCTTTCAGCCGTGCCTGGCTAACAGTACAGAAGTTGCAATGATGCGGCTCACGTTTACTCATGTTACCATATCCAATAATATAAAACTGACATTTAGTCTTTACAAAGTGACCTTGTCTTGGCTGTGTTTTAGTGGACTAGTATTGTATAAAATACAGTCACATTTCAATTATTATACATAATATATGTATATACGTTATTACTATTTACAAATAAGTTCTTAAACTTATTTTTCTTACAACATAGAACAGTAAATAAAGAAGCAAAGCGAACAATTATCTATTCTAGTTACAAACTTTGTACTGCTTTGCTGCTTGTCGTAGGTTGTTAAGCCTTATAAAATTTCACACGTGGAGCATGTAATATGAAATAATTTTTTTATGTTTTATATATATTTGAAATAACAAAAAAATCATAAATTACTATATCGATACCACATAATTCCACTATAATTTATCAAGCGTAGTAATTAAGCTATATTTGGATCTAAAAAAATAAGAAATTTCGAGCAAGACTAAAGCCTAACTTTACCAGCTTGAAGATTTTTTTTGAAAGAATGAGATGACACCCTAATACTTGAAAATGGCTGAGAAAGCCACTAGGGGGACATTATGAGCTTTCGATTGGTTATTCATGTCATAGACAGAAGTAAGTGTATATAAGGGAGCGTTTCCAAAAATTGGAGAGGTGAGCAGGGCCACTGTGTTTAATTCAGAACAGGAGCGATATCTAAGCAAATAGAAAAGATAGGAGGTTCTTATTTTATATTCTAGCTTGTTAATATTGGTAATTTGAGTTTCTAATTTGTACGAAATTATAGACTTAGTATTTTGACATCACAAACATCTAGTTTGAACCAGTGCTGTATTCAGAAAACCCTGTGATACACAAAAATTGATGTTCAGGTGTGTTTACTAATATTTACTTTTAAATTAAGAAATTAAATAATTTATAATACTCAAATTTGAATTATAATTTACGGATTGATACCAAACGTATTGACATAAGTTTATAAAATAGTAGTTGAATATTTATTTATTTATCAGATATTGTATTGTAGTTAAGATTTTAGGAAGCATTAGTTTCTTTACTAGGCTACACATGTTGACAGAAATGGAGAAAGCAGCACAAGTTTTTACAGGCCTTTGCCCATCATTTCAAGGAAGCAACTCCTCAGTCAGTGGATTGAACATTGATAAACTCTTGGAGGAGTGGAGGGGAAGAAGAAAGTTGGTTCAAGTATGTGTTTCAGGTTTTTACATTTACTGCAAAGTAGAATATGTAACTATGAGAATAACAGTTAGCAAGTATAGTCTCAATAGTGAGGGATAATTTTTTATATTGGGAATAACTACTCTAATGATGAGTCCTTCAATGTTAATAGCTTTGATATCATGCATTTTTTAGGTATGAGAAAACTTTTCCGAGTTTGAAAACAGAAATTGTTTAAAGCAAATTAAACAGAATAAACAAATAAAGATTTGATTTAAAACAAAAACTATGTAATGATCATATTAACAAGCTTGGGTATGCTAATAATCAAAGTCCACAGGCACTTATAGTTCTGTTTGTCTCTCAAGAAATAAGTAAATAAAGAGTGAATTGCAATCATGTATTAGAGAGTAATATAGAAATCAAATTAACTGAAATACCATGAACCAAGCTGAAAGATATACTGTTTTAATTAGAACAACTATTTCAATTGTGTTCATGTAACATTTGTCTGTTTTTAATTAATTCTTTACTTTAAAGGTTAAAATTTAAGATACTTGTATGAATGTAATTATTTGTTAAATTTGTTTAACTTCCCTTTAAACAGTATTTAGTAGAGGAGATTTTGAATTAGAAATAATATTTTATATAATTTGTATTCAGGAGTTTTGATGCTTATTCGTTTTGCAGTCATCACTTCGTTATCAGGAACCTGTTCTTAGTCTTTACCGAGTTCTCCTAACAATAGCCAAGAATCATCTTCCTGAGCTGGCCAAAAAGATTGATCACGAACTCGTTACTTGCTGGTTGCAAAGTGCAAAACTTGCCAGAAAGTAGGTTTTATTACACCATAAATAGATACTTGTAATCACCTCACTTACTATTCCTGTAGCTTTTCACTAAATTGTTAATCTGTGCTATTTTTTCACTGATATTATGCAGTGGCATACATATCTCTGAATATATAAAGTATATATAAGGCTAGGGCAGATGGCCCTCATGTAGTTTTGCATAAAAATTCAACAACAAATCTAAGAACATCACTCCTCCCTGCATGCTTTCCATAATTGATCTAGTGCTGAGAATGATAGTTTTTCAGTGCATATTTCAGAAGTCCGATGGCATAGAAATTCATAAGTGCTATGTCTGGGGTCTTTTCTTGAAATATTTATTCTTTGTTTTATCTCATATTTATTTCTAAAGCAACTTCAAATTCCTGACTGAAGCATGAAGCTTTCATGTGTTCATCAATTAACCTTGTGCTTGTTAATAGCTTGTTTTCAAGTTTACTGGCTAAAATTCTGCACTGTTACTAGTTTTGAATCATTAAAATAAACTTTTACATTTGACAGTAATTCAACTCTTATATAACAGTAGATTTAGTAAAATACACTAGGTGAAAAGTTCATTTAAGAATGAGCTATCAATAAATTATATCATTAGATTTAAATGGTATATGAGCAATAATTCATTGCACTATTGTTGCAAACATTATGAATAGAATCCATTAAAATACTCTATAGCAGCATTAACTTTACAATGAATCATGTCCATTAATTTTCAGAATAGTATTTTCAACCTGTGTTTTTTAGAAGTGGTCACCAACAGAGGGCTTACAGTTGTCTGCTAGATGCTTCAGCATTAAATCTACCCGAGACATTTGTGGAAAAGGCAAAGTGGCACTGGAATAAAGTAAATATAAATCTCAGTGCTAATATTTTTGTAATTGTAAAAGCAGATACTTTTCTTGATTTTTATTAAACTTTTGGTGAAATAATTAAAAGTGACATTTATTTTAATTTTTCTGAATGACAAAGTTTGAAATTGAAAGCTCCAGGATTGTGCTATGATTATAAATTTTTGAAGTATAATGTTTTAAGGTTATAAATTTGAAAATTATATATTTAGAAATGCCACATTTTTTTACTTTGGAAGTGTTAAGTTATGAACATTGTATGTTCTAAATGTATAAATTTGGAAATGCAAGATTCTGGAATCTAAAAGTATTAAGAATTTAACCTTGGAAGTTAAAAGTTTTTACATTGGAAGAAAGAAGAATGTTTTGCCGTTAAATGTCATAATGTTTGGTATTTCTAAACTGCAGTGTCTATTTTGAATCCAAGTATTTATAAAGGTTATAAAAATATATTTATAACTAACAAAAATGTTATGGCAATCTATTTATTTGGACTCTTTACTAGCAAAATTTAGTGTTTAGTTACAATAGTTTTCTGTCAGCTTGCATTGTTTCAATTAATAGTAAGTAGCCTCTTTTCATTGTTTTATATGATTGTGGTATTATAAATTAGAACTGCATCAGTACAGTATTAGTGTCTTATACCTCTTAAAAAAGAAAAGATTAGTTCAGATGTAAGTTGCATTACTTCAGAAACACAATTTTCAAAACATACTTACCTCCAGTCACACTACAGCTATTACTCAACTGGTAGGGTTTCTTTTCCTTTGCCCATCTAAGTAGTAGTCTGATTTTTTCTTGCATACTCCAGTCTTTTATTCCACAATTAATTGACATATCTGTCTCATGACCCTCTCCACCTACGTCATTGCGCCCTCTATCTTTGTACTGTATATAAGCACCTCCTTCAGATAATATTCTCACTTTTTCTCGGCAAAATGTTCTTTAACAGGTTTTTCTGTAGTACGACTGTTGAAGATACTTTGAGCGTT